CTGAATATTACATATTTAAGGGCCTTTTTTTTTTTTTTTTTTTTTTTTTTTTTAGTTACATCTAGAGATATATTGAATAAGTCCTAATTATAAGAAACATATTTAAACCCGTCACACAAATCACTTAGCTTGGTAGCAATTCGCCAGCCCAAGCGATATGAGTCCCCCAAGTGCAAGGCAAATTATACCATGGACCGGGTTCACCGTTCATCTTATATTGTGGATCCTAGTTCAAAATGATATTCAAATTATGTGTCAGTAATTAAAATATTATATACTTTCATCAGTTAACAAATTATGCACCTATAAAAAAAATTGAAGGTACATAATATGTTAATTACAAACATATAATTGATTATATCGCAATATAATATGTTAAGTGCATATACATAATATGTTAATTGTAATATATACATATAATATGTTAAGTACATATACATATATAATATGTTAATGATAATATACGTAGTAATATACTAACTGTAACACATAATTTGAATATTATTTTGAATCGTATCAATAATGTAACGTGGAACATGGTCTAACAGTTGAAAATGCAATAATAATACCCTCAACAACTCCCATTATATATTTTTTTGAATACTACTGATTCTATTACAATGTAGTATCTGTTCTATACTTTTCTCAATCTATTACAGCTCAAAGAGTCAAGACCCCACCATCGAAGTTCGATCATTTGACCTTTCTTCGAGAAAAGTCACAGATATGTCATTTGAGTACAAAGTGGTTCACAACAACTCCCATTATATAATTGACCCAAGCAAAGAAAACAAACTCCAAGGTTGTCACCTTAAAAGAATGTCAATTGTGCAAATGGATGAGATGAAAGAGGTATGGAGGGCATTACAAAGAGTGCCACATTAGCTGCTGCTATCTGGGGAAGATGGCATTGGGAATGGCAGTTTTGCAACTTCAAAAACTGACCACATTGACTTCATTTCATTTCATTTGTTTGGTTTTACATATTTTAATGAGCAGGTAACACTACCTGCTAGCTGCATGCTAAGCAAACATTATTCAAATCTGACATGCAAACTAATTTGTCTAAATTAAACATTAATTAATATAATCATCATCAATCAAACAAACAATTGATTAAGCAAATTAAATACAATATTATTATAAATCACTGTCCTGGGTTACGATATCATGACCCGCCCCACACCCGCACTTACATCGAGGTTGTTGTCTGCTGGCCAATCCAAAAGGGTTGCCATTTTGAAAAAAAAAATGAAGGGTATAATGATCATACAACTTCCGAAAAGACTTGTCGTGAAGATCCAGAATTATATTAATTATTTAATCGAAAATAAATGACTATCTGAACTTCCCATTATATTAAAGTTAAAAGCACTACAAAGAAGTGTTTGCATCATTACAAAGATGAGCCTAAGACAATATTGTATGTATTGGTGCCAACTGTAGCAGCACTACTTAAACATCCTCTTTTGGGATGGCATATTTATTATTATGTTCCACCCATTTTTAAATGATAATTTTCACACTGTAGAATTAGATTATATATTATAAGGTTAGTCTTCATATGAACATCCTCAGCACACGCCGAAAACAATTGGAGAAAGTTTAAGGAATCAATTAATTAACTTGCAGTTAAATAGTTAATTAATTAATTGTTAATCTTTTCCTTGCATTCATATATATAGGATTGGGTAAACCATCGTATGAACATCGTACGTGCATGATGAGCCTTTCAACTTTCAAGCACGTGGCAATATGCCATTAATGTTATATTCTTGATTTATGTCTCCCTTTTTTTGTATACAAATAAATGTGTACATTTTATTTTAAATGTTGTACATTTTAATGTTAATAGACAAAACTACCCTTGCACCGTTAGTTTTTAATTCTAACATTGGTAACACATCATTATTACCCTACACCTATATCTATCATATCTTTTTCCTATTTTTTAATTATCATTTTATTAAAATCAGTATATATTAATTTAATACTTAATTATATTTCTATAAATATTAAATTATATATGTCTGTACAAAGGAAAGGGGATACCCACTTAAACAATCTACGCTTACACAAAGGCTTAAACTCTAGACATCCCGGATACTAGTGGACCACAGGATGCTAGTGTGTGTGTGTATATATATATATATATATATATATATATATATATATATATATATATATATATAATTAGGTTCAAATCAGAACTTTTGTTAACATATAAACATGTGTATCATTGTGCACCGTTGATCTTGCTCGATCTTGTAGTTTATAATAATTTTGACTTGGTAAACATGCATTATTGCATTACATCACGTACTGCACCACATCACTGCATGACTGCACAACTACACCCGGATGCACCATTGCACTCCTCCTCAGATCTCGACCGTTCAATCTCACATCTCAACGGTGCATATGAGTTCATAAGTTCACACCCAAGCACTGGTTCTCGATCACCTGAACCGAACCCTTTATATATATATATATATATATATATATATATATATATATATATAATGGGTATTAATTATAACATTTTATTGTATAGTTTTCAACTTGTTGAATGTATATCAATATATAAACAATCATATATTAATAATAAACATCAATAAACTAATTATTTTTAGTACATACTACGTAAAGAGATTATTGTTGAACTGTTTAAAGTAAATAAGTTTATTACATTAAAATTGTCAACTATGCAACAACAAACATTGCATTTGTGTTCAGTGTACTTATTATTAATTATATTTTTATTGGAAGGGTACTTGTGTTATTAATAATTAAGAGATAGATAATTAAGTACTTTAATATCTCATACTTACTATTTTGATCAACATATGATACGACAAGACATTATAACAAAACACTATTTACTCATCAGTCATCACCTGCAATTCAACTAAGACTTTTTCCTTTTTAATTTATGTTGATTATCATGGAATACATCTTTCACTTGCAATTCAATATACTGCGTAGTATCATATTATTCCTTTAATATACTAATATATAGTATACTAATATATAGTAATATATAGGAAAGGATTGCATTGAGGACCATGCTTTCCTTGAGAATTGTAAAAGTGTATTGTGTAACAACTATAAGTGCAATCGTTGATATGTAAATGTGCACTAAAAATTAAAACTTTACAAGTGAATCATACAACATTACAAAGTGTAATTGCTGATATGTACGTAACGGTGCATTTGCACGATTACATATTAGTTATTTCACTAATAGTTGTTACGCGATGCACTTTACGTTTGAAATATTTATTAAAATGTCATTGTGTTTGTTTCTTATTTTACAATCCTTATTTCAAACACACACACGCACACACAGGTGCGACTATGCGGATAGATCTGGGCCGGCCATCTAAACATGATCAAAGGCTAAAAATCAATGAAAAGAGAAAAAAAACGTGGTGACATTTTTTGTAATTTTCTACACCAAGTATATTCATGTAGTGCACTAAGTGTTGGTCTGTTGTGCGCTAAGTGTTGACCTGTAGTGTACTTAATAGTAGTCTGTGGTGCACCACCAAGTGCTGGTTTGTGATGCACTAAGTGCTAGTCTATAGTGAACTAAGTACGTGTTAGTCTGTGGCGCACTAAGTGACGGTCTGTGGTGCACTAAGGGTTGGTATGTTGTGCACCAATAAGTGTATGCACGTACCCTACGTCTGTCATGTGCTCGTGTTGTATGCCGTAGATATGTGCTCATCCAATGGCGTAGATCTATCTGCACGGCCGCACCTGGGGAGGATGCCGCACCAAAATCAAACCCTATATATAACGAGGATTAATTTGATTTATCTATTTGGGTAGATAAGCACATCAATAGTTGAGAGTTTTTTAAAAAAATAGCAAGGTTAGTCTTATAAATAAAATTGACCCATGTTTTTTTTTTTTGGGGGTTAAAACTCTCAATAAATTTTGAAGAGTGGTTAAAATCAGTTGCCATTTCAACCCACTTATATACATATATAGACACACACATTAGAGACAGGAATACTAAACTGACAGAGAAGCCATATATGTATGTTACAAGCTCGAGCACTGATGGAGTGATCTAAATGGGAAAGTAAATCATCATCCTTAATTCCTATGAATTCAGCAAACCCTATTTCCTAAGATTTTGCATATGTCTATACGTACTCTTGGGAACAATGATCGAGTTAATTATGAATGTTTGTGTGTGTATATATAATTGTGGATTAAATCATATTTTTCTTTTCTTCACTATTTTTAAAGTACAATTTTTAATTTGAATTAAATTTGTGTTCAACGCAATAGCTAGAGTGCTTAATCTAACCTTTAACTATTATTTGCTAATATTAAATTATTTGCTTCAATAATAAATATCTGCATTGTGAACGTGTTGAATTAATTTAACATGAAATTAGACAAATAAATATATTATATAACACACACACATATCACGAACACTTATATGGCTTCTGATTGAAGAAAATGATTGAAAATATTAAATTAATTTTTCTTGATTATTAAACTAAAGAAAACTACAACAAAAGTTATTATAACCAGGGATTTTTCACTCATCAATAATCTAAATAACCTATGGCAGATCTCAATCATTTTTCAGTGAGATGACATATTTAACCGAAAAGATGTTACCAAGAATCAAACTTATAAAGATAATTATACTCCACATACTCGATAATTACTTTTAGATCAGACTCAACTCAATCATTGTTAATTTCTAACTTGAACCATTGAACATACCTCAGATTTTGCTTATCCATTTTGAATGAGCCACAAAATAAAAAAAGTAGTGAATAAATTAAATGATATGATATCAAAGGAGTAAAACACTAATTAATTATATTATTATAAACTCATACATACATTACAATAACTTATTATATATTTATAAAGATTATTATTATTATTATTATTATTATTATTATTATTATTATTATTATTATTATTATTATTATTATTATAAATATAATTGAAACTCGAGAAGAATATGAGGTAGAAAAAGGTGCTAACTGATCGAGAATTATATAAGGTCGGATCCAAATCCAAGATAAATTATAGACATCATAATCATAATATAATAAAAAGCTTACAGTAATTCCTATCTTCATCCCCTCTCTTTTTTTCTTTTTTTCTTTTTTCAATTATCACATACAAACATATCATGTGAAGAAATTAAAACTAAGCTGCACTTCTCTCTATTTCTCACTCCCTTTGAGTTATTATTTATTGATTTATTAATTTATTATTAATATTATTATTTATTGTGATTATTATAATAAGCTAACCTCTTAGCACTAGTATGGAGGCCGGCCATGTGCCCAAGCAAATGCATCATGGTTCAACTGTCCACCATTTGGCAACATATTTGGAGGCAAATTATACACTCCCATGGATGGATCCCCCACACCTCCACCGCCCGCGCCGCCTTGTGCTCCTCCCATACCCGGTGGTGATCCACCGCCACCGAGCTGACCTTGACCGGCCCCGCCACCAGCTTCCTCCTCCTCAGCCTCCAGGGGTAGTCTTTCATATGTTGCGTTTGAAAACGTGGATGCTATGACCATGACCGGGCCGGAGGCGACGAGAGACCCGACCACGCTTCCTCCCACGACTCCGCCTTGCCCTCCGGCCAGGTAGATGGTGAGGCCGGTGGAGCCCGGAGGCGCGGGGCCCGGGAGGAACGCGCCGGTCAAGGAGAGAATCTCGAAGCGGCCGTGCAACGCCATGAGTGCCCCGGGGGCGGAGGGCTGCCTTAGGGTTACGTTGGTGACGGTGCCGCTGGCGCTCAGCACGCACACGCCTCTCTGGCGGCGGCGGGCGAACTGGGCTATGCTCTCCGCCACGTCGGCGCCGTTGGCCACCTCCATGACGTGGCTCCGCAGCGCGTTAGGGCTGTCCCTCGTCACGAAAATAGGCGGCTTCGGCTTGTTCTTCGACCCCGGCGGCCGCCCCCTCGGCCGCCGCGTCGTCGCCACTTCAATTGCACCCTCCCTCGGCTCGTCGCTGTTCTCCCTCTCGTCTTCCTCATCCCTCCCGCCGTCGTTCATGGATATCCCCAGATCTGGCTTCTTCAGCGCTGACGACCCGCCGGCCGATGATGACGTCTCAATCCCCGTTAAACCTACTTGGCCTGCCCACCATGGATTTGCCATGTTCACAAACAAGGCCAAATCTTAACACCTTAGATCTCTTTCTTCTATATATCAGAAAAAGATCCAATAATTATATTCAAGAAATAGAGATCCAAACAAAGGGTTTTTTGTTTTATTTTTACCACTACTACTTCTATAGGAAAAAGATGATATACACACACACATATATATAGCTACATATGTATACTGTATAGTATGTACTATGAATGAAACCACCAAACACAGAGCTAAACTTAGAGAGAAGGAAAGAAGAGAGAGAGAGAGAGAGAGAGAGGGGGAGAGAGATTAATGATAATTTTGAGAAGAATAAAGACTAGACTAAGGTTTTATGCTATTTTTTTCTGCATTAGGTTTTGGTTAGGGAGTGTTAGTTTAATTTGTGTGTCAAACTTCAAAGTTATTGGAGAGCCTTTCTTTTTCGATCTTTAGGTAAAAATTCAGCTTCCTTAGCCTCTGCTATATACATATATGACATATCGCAGTATGTATATATATAATATATGTTCCTGATTTTTTTTCATGTTTAACAAAAATAAAAAATTGACAGAAGAATTTTATTTAAATAAAGAAAGAAAAGGAAAATTTTCTTCACAATATATATATTGAGTAGAAATAATAAAAAATTTAAGATTAATTTCTCCGTATTATTTTATTTTTATAGTGAGTGAAAAAATAATTATTATATTAAACCTTCTCGTATGTAGATTATACTCCAATCTATTTTTAATTCATAATTCAAATACGAGGAAAAGAACACCAAAATTAAACAATTCTTAAACATGTATTCCCAAATTTTACTCGTGGCGGGCTTTAATAAGCTAATTTTTTCATGTGAGTCCCAATACATACAAGTGTCTACATTAAGGTTTTGTGTGTGTGTGAGTAAAAGTTGAGAGTAGAAAATGAAAGACACGTAGCATTTTCCAAAATTAAACTAGCTAATTACAGTAACACCAAGTCGCTAGCTAGACTCGCCCTCTAAGCCTCTACCGAATAGAGTGTTTTGTCACCCTTTTGGTCTTACCAAGTAACAAACATAATTAATCTTGGTGTGTGAGGTTCTATCTTGACTCAGTTAAAAATTGTAGCCAGACAAAAAATCTAAGCCTCATAAGACTTACACAATCGGTAGACAACAACTAACAAAATCCTTTCGAAGAATATATCATCCAAAATTTACTACTGTAAGAGCAACTACATTAGCGGCTCAAAATTGTCATATTTTTTGGCCAACAATAAGAAAGAAGGGGAGGAGACGGGGAGGGAAGAAAAAAAAAAAAGGCAAATAAAAAAAAGTAATGTTATTAACGTGCCTAGTGGGCAGTACTGTTTCGCATGACGCTGACCGGCATTTTTTTCTGTGTGGCCCACAAAAAATTCACTTCTAAACAATTTTTTTTCTATCTCCTAACCTCTCCTTCTATCTCACCAAAAAAAAAAAAAAAAAAAAAATCAAAACCCCCAACCAATCACAATAATTCACTTCTTGGTGAAGAGGGCAGTGGGAATATAGTCTTAGGTCGCAGGTGACCATGAGTTGATTTGCATCCTTAAACACGAGAAAGAACGTTTATGGTATATAACTTAAAGTCTTCAAAATATATATATATATATATATATATATATATATATATACACACACTAATGCAACTCCATATCCATTTTTCCAATGTGAGGCAAAGCTACCCCACAAAGCCTTTCTAACTCCATTTTTTCCAACTCAAACAAATATACTTTGAGAATCAATTTCTCATACAACAATTAATAACATATAATATATCAAATTAAACATCTCATTTAGGAGAATTCAAATCCACTTTAATCCAACTCAAATTAAAAGTAGCTAGATCCCCATTAAAAATTATACCACAAAATAACCACTTTAAATTTCGGATTGAATTTTTATCTTCCCTCGTTGATAATCAAGAATGGGAGACATGGAAAGTGTCTTGGAAATTAGGGTTTTTGTGGGTGTAGGGTCACGTGAGGGGTGAGGAACTAAACCTAAGTGGGATGCACGTTTGCTCTCTGCCCAGTGACACAGTGAGCATATGCTATGCATTACCGATCCATCAATTTATTTATTATTCTTCGACCATATAATAATTTAATTATATATTATATATAGTTTATACACATATAGTGCAACTATACGTTTATAAAACTGAGAAATATGCATAGACCATGGTTTTTATTTTAGTTTATTTAATTTTTACTTTAAAACTCTTTATTAAATTATTACATATCAGTAATTTGTGAGTACGTACATACGTAAATTATTAAAATATTAATTGTTCGCCAAAAAAATATTAACATTCACGTGAGTCTATGACAGTTGTTTTTAACTTGGTCAAACCGCGTATTATATTATACCGATGCAAATTAAATATAAATGTTGACATTTAGAAAACATATGGTAGATGCCCTAGGCATAACAGTATAAACTGCTTAGAGACAGGAGAAAGTTAATATAAAAATTAAAAATCCCCTATTATATTATTATATAAGAACAGTTCGTAGCAAAATTTCATTGTCCTGCACATCAATAATGTAAACCGGCAATTTTGTCATCACTTGTAGTTAATAAATGTTAAAAATTTGTACCTTAATTTAAAAGTTTCTACAAATTTGTTGGGCACCTCCCTTCTTTTGAAGGGTCAAATTCAGTATTATATCATCGAAATATACATGATACGGACTACTATACAATTATAAGGAAATAAAATTACGCTCTCACTATTAGTTTAGCTTTTGCCGTAATGGTAAGTGTTTTATTTTTAAGGATAATCTCAATCAAGATGGCAAAACATCTACGCTTGTAACTGCAAGGTCATGAGTTTGAATCATTGCCCCCTTATGATTTACGTGTTTGATTTTGACAAAAGTAAAAATATTTTGAATCAAAAATAACATTTTGTTTTCCCGATCAAGAAAGGAAACACCCAAAAGTAAGTTATTGAAACTCCGACACTTAGCTTATATTCACAAGGAAACCCGATCTATTATTGATGATGAATATAAGCTAAGTGTCGGGGTTTCAGTAACTTACTTTTGGGTATTCCCTTCTTGATCGGGAAAAAAATGTTAATTTTGATTCAAAATATTTTTACTTTGGAAAAATAGCACTTTTTTCCCCTGAGTTATATACTTATAGAACTTTTCCCCCCTAAGTTATATACTTATAGCACTTTTTTCCCCTGAATTATTTAAGTGACAATTTTTTACTATGAGATGTTAAATGGACATATTTACCCTTAAAATAAATATTCCATTTATTTTTCTTCTTCAACAAATAATGACCACGATTTGGTTCAAACCGAACAGACGCTATAGCAACCAAACTGAAATATTCCAATTACAATTTAGAATCGAAATCCGATATTTAGAGTTTATTTGAACCGGAACGGCCGGTTCATGTTCCGAACTGAAAAAAAAAAAAATAAAATACATTTATTGTTGAATTTAGACTATTTTAAAAATAAAAAATAAAATTTTAAAATAAAGTTTGAAGCAGCAGTTCAAACTGGATCCGGAATCCTGAACCCGCTGTTCAAAATCAAAACCAAATTGTGGTCATATATACTTAATGTGAGAATCATAATAAATGTAAAAAAGAACATACAATATTTGTAAATATTATAATTCTAATTTTAAACTAATGCTAGTAGTTGTTTCAATTCGAACCGCCAATTCACGGTTCAAGATCCAGTTTTTTTCGATTCTTGATTTTAATAAACTCAAATCCAAATATTGGGTTCTGATCTGAATCATAATCGAACCATGATCATCTCTACGTATAAGCAATAATTTGTTCGAGAAAGAAAAATAAATAAAATGTTACTTTAAGGGTAGAGATGTCAATTTAATACGGAGTATATCATGGAGAAAAATCGCCACTTTTAAAATAATTGAAGGGACTAATATGCTTACATGAATAATTCAGGGAGAAAATGTGCTATAACATATAATTCAGAGAAAAAAAAGTGTCATTTTCCCTTTTACTTTTTGTTATCATCAATAATAGATTTTTAATTAAAATAAATTTTAACTAAAAGTCGAACAAATCCAATAACAACCCATAAAAAAATGTCTTGAGAAATCAATTCAAAAATTAAATAAAGTCAGGAATATTATTGTATTGGATTCTTTTTAAAGAATCTAATTAATTTAATTTTCGCTTTTGAAAATTATAATAAGGCATAGGATATAGCGTTTTGTAAGCATGAAGCTTTGCATAATATTCTGCCTTAAAGACAAGCTAAGCGTCATCTTTTAGTCGCAAACATTTTCAATTATAATATATAAACTATTATATGTGGTTTTACTATACCGAAATATCCTTCATTAAAAAAAGAAAATTTAAAATATTTTCAGTCACAATATTAATTAGTACTATAAGCCGTATAGTACATGGTTTTACACTTTTACTATAGTAAAATATTTTTTTATTTTTTGATAATTCCATATTTTTCAATTTCGTCAAACTATATAAACTTACCCTAGTCTATGAAGTGATAAATTAAGCCAATATAATTTTGATCGATACTCAAAACTAAATTTTGAACTTATAAAATAAAAAATCGAACATTCACCTTATCGCCAGAAAACAAATCTTATTTGGGAGAAGAAAACAAATCTTATATGAAACTTTTCATTTATTAAACTAATGTCATAGGGCTATTATATAATAAAATATTATTCACTTCAAAACCTACTAGCTAGAAATCTAGAATCTTCTCATAATCCTTTAATCAATTTTTTTAATTAAACTTATAAAATTTACTTATTGTCCGATTAAAATAAATTATCCATTTACTAATTCCTTAAACCCAATAATATTATTAATTTAATACCAACAAAATCCAATTATACAAAGATTATATTATCCATACTTTTATTAAAATTAAAGAAAGGACATGAACTCTGTAAATAAATCACATGAAATAGTTTATTGTATTAAATATTTAGTGTATTTAAAAGAAGTGTTTTTTAATTTAATGTAAAATTTTTATTAATTTATGGAAAATGATATTCGTATTTTCGAGAGTATATTATATATAATTCTATCACATGATCGGTATTATTAATTGGCCTAAAATCAATGATTAGCCAATAGGAAACAAAATACAATAATTTGCGATGAAACGCTTACCAATTACGTCAAAAGCTATAACTAGTAGAATTTGACTCTACAAACTAACGCTCAACAATCCCCTAGCTAACCTGCTCTAGTACCGACTTATCACATCAAACACTATTACTATACTAAAAGTTATAACTAGTAATAAA